TGCTCGCTCGGAATACGGTTTCTGTGAGACAATGTCCTTGGCCCACTCCTTGAGTCGAGGAATTGCATCCGGAACCCGAGCAACAGTTGCATCGTCAACAAACGTCGATAAGAAAGGAGAAAAAAAGAGTAAAAATAAAATTCTGGGTAAAACGGAACTTTACTTACGTTTTGTGTTCCACTCCTCAGGGAATGGCATGTACTTGGCCGGGATCAGGTCCGAGGTCTTCAGTCAGACAAATCGGCCTAGCCAACCTCGGTCTTGACCTTCATCGATGCTCGAGAACTGGGCCTTAGTGGCCCGGTGCGCAAGTTTAATCAGTCCCCCCGGAAGAATCGAGGATTGTATAGGCGCATCAGATGGTCAACGGTGAATGTGCATCCATCAATCTTGCTCACGAAGAATCGAAGAAGAATGACTATCCTCCAGAACGAGGGTTGGATCTGACCAAGGCACACCTCGTGCCTTTATAGAATTTGATGATCACCGGGTCCAATGAACCCAACGTAAAGGGATAAGTGTAAATACTTGCGTATCCCTTAATGTGGGTAGTGATATCTTCTTCGGGCCTAGGAAACACCACGTCTTTTTCGGCGCAGTTGCAATCCTTTATGACTGTAAGGAGGGTCTCTTCTTTGATCGAGGAAATATACCTCGATACTTTCTCACCCCGGCCCGGAACGGGTGAAGGCTTTTCAACTTTGAAGTCAGCGGTCACCGAGCACCCGCCAGGTATAAACGCGCCAAGAAGAGGTTCCACCGGTAGTTCCTCGCCGCTCGGGCGTGATGAAGAAGCAGTTTATTTTTGAGGAACTGTCTTAGAAGTCTTCGCCATTTTCTTTTGAATAAAGATGAAGGAGATGAAGTAAAGGGTACGCTTAATGGTTTAGACAAGCGAGAGTTCTTACAAAGATCTCAAGAAATCTGGGTACAAGTACTAGAAAATGCAAAGATTTTTTAGAACAAGAGTAGAAAAGGTTTGGATGTAAAGTTTGAATAAATGAAGGATGAGGTATTTATAATTTTCAAATGACGGTTCAAAATCAGAAGTGGCTGACCAGCAACTGACGAGCATTTAATGTCATTAAGACGTGACTGATGAGATGTTTCGTTCATTTTGTCATTTCTGACGCGGGGTATCGAGGCAAGAATCGGGAGTTTATATCGTTTCTCGTCGTTTACTCTCCAAAAAACGAGGGGACTATCTGTATACGGTAAAAAATCGGGCTCGTCTATTGCATGACAGATCGGGATTGAAACGTAAAGGGTTGAAGATTGACCCCGTTTCCATCGAACTAGGATACGAGGTCAAAATGCCCGTCTTCAAGAACATCGAGTTCATGACCTCGGAATCGACCTTGACCCTGAATGAGCTCGAGGAAACGTTGTCAAACCGGATAACGGAAGGCCGAAATATTTGTAACCGGTCGGGTATCACGGCGGGAATCTCGGCATGTATCAATGAGAAACCGGCTAATTAGCAAATCATGAGATTTTTTATCTTTTATAGAATTGTACCTAAATTAGGACTCCTCTACTATATAAAGGGAGTGTGATTATTTGTAAATGACATTGTTACATGCATCCCAAAGCAATATAATATTATTTTTTTACTGTAAGCTACTGTTCTTTTGTATCTGATATCATTTGAATTACATCCAGTTCAAGTAAGACTTACTTTTTAAGACTATAAATATTTAAGTTGTACGATTTGAATTTACTTTATCATTGTTCGCTTTAATTACAATTCAATTTATCGCTTTGTATCGATTTAATTCAGGTATGATTAAAAGCACTTACAAATTCAATTATTATTAGATTTTGAGGGTAAATAGAACAGTTCCCTCTGAACTTGCATCAATCATTATGCATTTATGCTTTACATGTATCGCTGCTTTAGTTTGAAAATTTTCAAAGTCGTTAGTTGAGAAACAGTCAGACATACTAAAATTACTCATAGTGCATATTTACCTTTAGGAAATGATGGCAAAAATTTCCTGTAAGGGTAATCGACATTCTTACATGTACAAACAGACATTACCATAATTAAGAATCTTAGCTAATTATTGGTCTCAAAGTACTTGGTTTTGGGCTCTAAATTTGACTTCACATTTTGACTTACTTTAAATTAGAGCAGCAAATTAAATGACACCTTCACAGATTACCGTTACAATAAATGAAAGAATGAAAAGGAAAGGTGTTGGAAAATAAAGCTAACTTGTCTGGTCATTTTAAAAGCCTACTCATTTATTAATGTGATATACGTGGCATTCCATCTACCAAAAACTTTTGAGGACAGTGGAAGAAGGGTTTGCTTGTGGGGGTCTGTCTCTCATAAATTAGGCTTGTTAGTTGTACCTTAGCTATAATGTTTAGTATTAATTAGAGAGTCAAAGGAATTTGAAAATTGAAAATTAAGTAGGTCCCAAACGATACTTTTTTCAGGATTTGTAACTTAGTAATAAAAAATCTTAACAGGGAGCACTCCTACTTAATAGGTATGAATTTAGATTAATTAATACAATGAATTTCAAACATTAAATGATTAAAAAAATAGTCCGGTACACCCAATATCAAATGGTTAGCCTAAATTTTTGAGTACAGTGAGACCTTTATATAATAGCATCTCTATATAATAATCACTCACTATAAAAGCTAAGGTTTTTTGGAACCGATTTTTATGTTATGTTATAATATATGTTCTTTATAACAACATTTCGTTATAGCAGCCAAAAACTCCTAAAAATAAGAGTTAGGCTAACTCATTAATTTTCACGTCTAAGAAGGTAACTTTATCTAGAGAGGATCTAATTAAAGTAAGATCTACCCAATATAATTTTACAAGTTAGACCTGCGGAGCAATAAGATCTACGTATACTTCTAAAATACATGGGAGACCTATATAATTTTACTAAACTAGAGGAAGTGTTGGAGCAAATCAGTTAAGTGCTTTTTTAGTTGGGGGGTTGGCCGTTGGTACGGACTACAATTTTCTTGAAACTATAATTTGTAAGTAGTGACAAGTGCTTATTTATTAGGAGTTTGTAGTAGAATCTTTGATAGTTCAAACTTGGGATTATTCTATAATAAGTGTACAGATGTAAACTACTAAACTACTATTTGTATATACGCAAGTACAAAGGAAGGGGTGGATTTGGGAAGAATGAAAAAGATGGGTTTGAAATGAACCCCAAAAAAGTAGCAGAGTTCAAGTAAAGCTGCTGAGAAAGAAATATCTCTCTCTCACACACGCACAATTCTTCAGCTCCATTATTTGACAGTCTCTTTTAAGTGTGGTCAGAGTACTTCACAACCCCCCAAGCTGGCACCATACCCCATTGTCAGCTGTCTTCTCTTCACAGTGTAACAAACCATCCTCGGTAACATATCTTCGATATCGAGTATTATCTCATACCGTATGGAAACAAACCAAACAATCCCCAATGAAAAAAAAAATAAGGTTAAGTTGCGTCCGTGTAATTTATAAGTCATGCATTCGAGCTGTGAAATCAAATACTGATATTTGCGTTAAAATATATTATCTACATTACACTTCTTTGGACTGCTACCCTTCTTCGGACGCAGCATAAATATGAAATACTTTGTATAGTAGATTCTCCTCTCTTGTTTTAATAATTGTGATATTCGGATTAATTTGCACATGTCAACTAATTTTACAAAATATTTAGAGTTTGTTTGGACATAAGAAATTTTTCTCTTTTTTCTAATAGAATTTCACTTTTTTTCCGAAATCAGCGTTTGTTCACAAAATTTTCAATTTTCACTTGAAGATGCATTTTGAAAATTTTTCGAAAATTTTAAAAACTCCAAAAAGCTATTTTTCAAAATTTTCACTCACAAAACTTCAACAACAACAACAACAACAACAACAACCCAGTATAATCCCACAAGTGGGGTCTGGGGAGGGTAATATGTACGCAAACCTTACCCCTACCCCGAAGGGTAGAGAGGCTGTTTCCAGGAGACCCTCGGCTCAAAAAAGCAACAGGAGACGATATATTAGTACCATAAAAATGCATAATAGAATAACAGCAATATAGGAGATATGAAATACAGAATACGAAATACGAAATAGATGTCTGGTATAGTAAAAACTAGCAGGTAAAGCCCTGCATCAATAGACGAACAATGACATTCTTAGTCTAACTGGCTAGTCTCACTCTATTATGCTGTAGAAATATTCACAAAATTATATTCATGTGCTGTAAAACTTCAAAAACAACCCAAGATTATATTCATGTCCAAACACAACTAAATTTCAAATATCATTTTCACTTGAAAAATTTTTTTCATCTTTTTTGGGAATTTTACAATTCTTATGTCCAAACGCCCACTTCTAAGTATATTTTTCTCAAAATTGATTTTTAAAAAGTGCTTTTGAAGAGAAGTTAGACAAGAGGGTTGCTCTGATGGTAAACAACCCCCACTTCCAACCAAGAGGTTGTGAGTTTGAGTCTCCCCAGGAGCAAGGTGGGAAGTTCTTGGAGGAAAGGATGTCGAGGGTTTATTGGAAACAGCCTATCTACCATAGGGTAGAGGTAAGGTCTACGTACACACTACTCTCCCCAGACCCCACTAAATTGGATACAACTGGGTTGTTGTTGTTATTGCTTTTGAAGAGAAGAAACTTTTTTCTGCCTCACCAAAACTACTTCTGCTTCTACTCAAAATTTCTTTTTTCCTCGAAAAGCTTGGCCAAATACTTCAACTTAAAAAAAAATTAAAAAAAAAGGTACTTTTGGCTTGGAGAATTAAACTCTTACCCCTAAACCCCATTTTTCTTTAATTTAGATACTCCCAAGTCCCAATTCACAAGTATTCACACATAAAATAAAAAATAAAAAACTAAAACTAAAACTAAAAAAAGTATTCACACATATATTTGGACATAAAATAATCACAAAAAATGTTTTTTATTAAAGAATTTTTTTTTAAGGCTTTCTGCTTCACCATAAATGTAAATAAAGTGAGAGGGTCTCTTCAAACTGAATGGGGGCACCTTTTTTTATTTATCAATGATTTGACTCAAAGAAGGTTGTAATGAATGGGCTCGGTAGGTCGGAAATGGAACTTCTGGCTTCTGCTTCTGCTTCTTCTTCTACTTCTACTACTTCTACTTCCCCTGACTCTCCTCCCAACACTTTAAAATTTGGTCAAAAAATCTACTTTGAACATGTTGGACCTCAGCACCTAAAATCAGCAACTGGGTCGNCTATATATATATATATATATATATATATATATATATATATAAGTTGCATGCATATGATTGAAATATTAAACTATTGCTTATGAAGTTGTGGTCCTGTGCCTTTGTGGAGTTTGCTTATTGTTTTATTTGGAGAGTTGACTGTGCTGGATTTGTTAATTTGTTGTTTGCTAATTCATTGGTGCAAGAGGATTTATATAGTATTAATCTTTTGTCTGGTTAAGGTGTCTCTTTCAGTCTTTCTTCCCTAATATAACATCCAAAAGCTACTTGAAAGCTGAGAATTCCACTATGCTGTGGTTGAATGTGATATGTGTTTGATTTTGTTTTAGATGTTCAGTGCAATCTTCTGCTTCTTGTAGAGGACTCAGCAGGAACTAGATATGCTTGTTTTAGTAAATGGCTTGAAAAAAATACTAGGATTACTACCTAATCAAGAATCAATCTTCTTAAACCATGATTTGCTTTTCTGAAAAACAAATTTAATTATTCAGAAAAAATGTAAAAAGTAGTAGAACTTTTTTTCTGTTTCAAAATGACTGTCATACATTCTTCATTGAAAGAAAAGTTAAGGCGTATTGCATTTGAAAAGAAATAATTCTTTCATTTTACTTGGGAAGCAATAGGAGACTAACTTTGGGAGATATAGCATACTCCAATAATTTTAGTATGACTACAGCTACAGGATTACTAAAGTTCGAAAGTTCTAGATATGATCATGGCTATACGGTGTGTTAGAGTTTCCAGGAATTAACTTTTGTTGGTTTGAGGAGGCTGTGGTAAGGTGGTGTTTGGGTTTGTGCTTCACTCAAAAACATGTGTTTTGTCGCTAAGCGTGAAAATGTGGATGGAGAAAAGATGATGTAAATTAGTGTTTTGAAGCCAAGTTACTGGTCAAAGAAATGGTATGTCTAAATTGCTGCGGTTAACACAATAGAGGCTTTCCTCATCGAAAATTGGCCTATCTATGTTTTTGGGTTAGTTCATTGAGCATTCTAACAAATTTTGTTACAAGATAACAAATATATTGCATGGTTCGTTAGAGAAAACAGGGGAAAAAGAGAAAAAAAACTCCAAATCTCACGTTGAAGTAATAATATCTGTAGAAAAGGGTTGAATGATGGAGTAGGTGTAAAAATTCAACTCTGAGCAGTTTTATCACAAAGTAAATGTTACTGTACTAAATTACTATCAGGAATAATATAAATTCAGTGTTACATGCCCATTTTCCCCTCAGAAGTCGAAGCTATATATTTTATATGATGAATATGTTTTTGTTCGTTTTGAACAGCATAATGGATGTTGAAGAATTTGGTAAAAGCCAAAAAGGAAAAGGATAAGACCAAGTAAATTAAGTTGAGAGTATTTGTGAAGAGATATGCTATGCTAGTTTAGTTGTTGAAGAGATGTCAACAAAACATAGCAGTTAACTTACACTTATTAAATCAGAATACTTATTTGTTGGTTTTCTTGACTGGGAAATGGAGTTATGCAAATAACTCTTCCTTTCTTTATTACCCTCTATCTAGTTTTCAACTTTTTCCCATTTTTCGTTCTGAAAAGGAGTATGGGTTGGGGAAAAATGTAGGATCTTTGCTATTCCTCTTGAATCTAGCTTTCATTATGCATGCAGTGTCGCTTAGAAGAAGGAATCATTAACTGATAATGCACTTGTCCCCAAAAAAAGATTATCACAAATGATAGTGCAAACTCTCTCCAATTTAACTACAGTTATTGACTAAAGGTGTGTTTTTTATTGCTAAAACCTTTTTTTTTTCGCACCAACATATTTGTCTGTTCTGTGTCTCATGCTACTCTCACCCAAGTCTAGACGTGGTGAAGTTCTCTGGCAAACAATTTTAAAATTTGTGCTGTAAAGGATTAACTTCAACTTTATTGTGTTGTCTAAGTTCATTCTGCTGAATTTTCAATTACTTTGAAATAACCAATATCCTGGATTTCCATGTCAAAAGCCCATTTTTTGAGATTCACAGAATTGACATCATGCACTGTAATCAACAATGAAAAATAACAACTGCAGACAACGTTATAGGCATGAATTGTAGCCTGAGGCTAACGGGAATAGAGTGGCTAGCGCTTGATCAGTTTGCTCGCTGCAATGAAGAGTACTCTGTGGTTTACCTTGATTGGCTTGGTTGTTCTATCTCAGTATCAGATAAAGTAACTGCAGCGCCTTTCCAAGCTGAAATAAGGATATAATAGCTCCAGTGCTAGACCTCTAATTATCTGGAGAACAAAAAGAAATCCTTCTGGATGCAAGAAGTACTCTTTCAAAGAGTCCTACATGGATAAGTAGCTACATTGTCTACATTGGCCAAAATTCTTTTGATAGGACATTCAATTTAGTGATCCAATTGAAGCAATGTGGTGTCTTCTTTTTTATGAGAATGGTACTTGCCTTGCACGAATTTACTTTCTGCCATAGATGGCATTGATATTCATTCTTACAAGATCCAGATTAATCCTAGTGAGTTGATTTTTCTTTAAAACAAAAATGGCAGTACATTTTTTGGTTCTATGTTAGTTGTTGCCATGTGTGCATTAGCTCTTCTGACAAGGGAAAAGTTTTTCATGTTCGTCTTCTATTTCAAAGATATTTTAGCTGTTAATTCCCGATGCGCTTAACGTAATAACAACAACTATGCCTTAGTCCCAAACAAGTGAGATTCGACTATATGAATCCTGACTTCTTTCTTACCACCAAGACTGACTGGCCAGCTCACCACAAAAGTGGACAGGTTTGAGATTTGTTATGTGCTACTTGCATTGTTCAAGTGTTTTTATGGCCATCAAGGAAATTACCAGACTGCTTTTATGCGTCTCCAATGGGCCCAAGTGTTCCAACCAACCAACTCCAAACTATTCGCTATCTCCATACTAGTTTTGTCTAACCATCGGCTTTGATATTATGTCAAGAAAGGAGGAATGAGAGATTTGGGGAATGAAGTGCTTGGTTATTCCCTGAAGCATCTAGTAACTCGGAAAAGGAAAAGAAAGAACTTCCAACTTCTAGTTACACAATTATAGGGATACCAAACCTTCCCATATTTACAAGGAATGGATTCTTGCCATATATACAATTTCTTACACATTACGTTAACATTTTTCACAATATAGCAGTCCGACATCACACCATCTTTTGGGGGGAAAAGGTTATGGCNGGGGGCGTTTAAAGTAAGAGACTGCACTTGATCCAAATCCTCTAGGTAGTTGATCTGATTTGATGCCATTAAGTTGTTCTTTATATGTCATTTATAACTCCTTTTTTGCTTCTTGCTTTTGTTAAATTCTTTAGTTACGTTGCAATTTGTATTACTAAGCTCATTATTATTATCAATAGATCTCGGAAAGTAATAAATGCTTGTTCAGGTTTTGGTTAAATCTTATGTGATCAAGAGCGCTTGAATTGTTGATCTAACTGCAATAATAAAGTGGCTTGAAAAACAAAAAATGTTAGAAACCACCAATTGCGAGGGCTAACCTCAGCATTATTTTGGACATATCTAGCCATATAATATAACTAATTTTTCATGGTGGTATGATAACAGAAGTGCTTCCAAGGTGCCCATCGTTAATTACATTTGGCTCTTTATCCTTATTGCAGTGATCGGGCCTTATTTTATTTGTCCGAGGTGCAGTGATCGGACCTTATTTTATTTGTCCGAGGGGTTGAGGGAATGCCATAGCTAAGCTGTGTTTCCCAAAATTTAAATGGTTTGCTGAATGATTTATTGCAAATAAGGGGTTTTAAATATCAGTATGTTGTTTAATAATAATGGAAAATGCTAGTTTGCAATTGGCAATAGGGGCTAACAATATCTTTGATCAGTTGCTTCTCTTTGCCTGGAATTAACTGTTGGTACTTTGCTTCCAGGTTCCATCGGTTGCCAGAATTTGACCAAGGGAAACGCAGTTGCCGCAGGCGCCTAGCAGGCCATAATGAGCGTCGGAGGAAACCTCCACCTGGATCTCTTTTGTCTAATCGCTATGGAAGTCTTTCTTCATCAATATTTGGTATGGGTGCTCCTTGCATAAGACTTCATGGAGCTTAAGCATTTCTTTGGTTCTGTTACTTCATGCTTACCATAGTTGTTTTAACATCTGCACTTGCAGAAAACAATGGCAGATCTGGAAGTTTTCTGGTCGACTTCACTGCATATCCAAATCTCACTGGAGGTGCATGGCCAAATACTAGATCATCTGATCGAGGATGGGATAATCAATCCACTGCATCAGGGAAGCTTCTCCAAAGTCATTGGCTGAACGGTTCTGAAAATCCTACATCCGACCTTGTTCTGCAAGGTTCAGTTGCAAGGGGTGCCAATTATTCTGGTCCTGGTATTATTCCTTCCGGAAATTGCTTCTCTGGAGTCTCAGATTCCAGTGGTGCTCTCTCTCTTCTGTCAAATGAGTCATGGGGCTCGAGGAACCAATCCTCTAGCCTCGGGGTTAACGGCTTGGTTAACACTGATGGCGGACATACCGTTCAGCCATCGGGTTCCCATGCTGCTCCTGTCAATCACTACTCAGGCTCTCTATGGGGATTTAAAGGAAATGAAGCTAGTAGCAGTTCACATGCAATACCTCCTGATCTCGGGCTTGGTCACATTTCTCAACTTGCTGTCAATCAGTACTCTGCTGAGCTTGGGATGGCTCAGCACAGTGGAAGACAGTACATGGAACTGGAGCACTCAAAGGGTTACGATTCTTCTGTTCAGAATGTGCACTGGACACTTTGAGTGTCATCTCCTTCATATCTAACTATCGTTGTTGTAGGAAGACTTTTGTTCAATAAATGGCATCGTGTTTATCAGGCTGTATGTTGACTAATGGCACTTTTTATGATGCTACCTTTGTGCAACTCTCCGAGACTTGATCAAAAATGACTCTGTATGGTTATTTATGTATTTTGTACGGTTTAACTTCTTGTTGCTACCGTGTAATTTGCATTTCTTTTAAAGCAGCTTAGTGTTTTCTTCCATTGTCCCTTTCTTGATATACACATTGAGGAAGGACAGTGTCCATCTTACTAAGAGCAGAGATATTCCCATGCAATGAGGTGGTAAGACAATATGTAGATAGTTCGAACTAGAATTGATTAAGATGTTTAGGTGCTAGTAGCCTTGGAGCAACGGTAAGTTGTCTCCGTGTGACCTATAGGTCATGGGTTTGAGCCGTGCAAGCAGTCACTAATGATTAGTAGGATAGGCTGTCTACCTTACACTTAGAAGTGCAGTCCTGGACCCGTGAATGTAGAATACTTTGTGTACTTAGTAGTGCCATACTCCCTGCTGCCTGTGTGGGCTTGTTGTCCCTTGTCGCTGCATTTTTTCAAACTATGGAGTAAAGGAACTTCGAGATCAAAATAATATGATCTTTTTCATTTCTCATGAGCTATTTATTTCTCCAAAACAGGAGATTATAGTCAGCTTCCACCTTTTCTCTTAAGTAGTTGACGGCATTACACCATTGGGATACTTCAAATTAAGCCTGAGCCTCATTTGACAGATGGTTAACACATCAAGAAGGCCAAGTTCATTACTTACAACTTACAAGTCGACTTTTTGGCCTGGCTTGACAATTCAATACTTCTCTATTTTTTATTATAAAAAAAAAGTCAATACTTCTCTTAGTTTACATTGACTAATCATTATATTTATACTACAAGCAGTTGAGTCTGGATCCATCCTAAACCAAAGAGCCAGAATAAGCGAGGTGCACAATTGGAATATGAGCAATAACACTCTCTTCATATTTTTGTACACTCCTTAATTTTTTTAACAGCCCCATCCCGGTATGAGTCCAGGATCACCCCAGCTGATGCGGAGACTGCTGCTGAACAGACAAGATAGTGTGTGGTGTACCACAAAAAAAATTCATGGGAAGCTAAGCTTATACGACCTTTGGAGCAATCGAATATGACAGTGCTAACATTACAAGGCAATCAACATATGAAGAATAGCTACAACTTCAATCAACAGCTATGTATTACATGAACACATCTTGATATCCAGCTGCCATCCATAGCGTGCTATAAAGGTCCTGGCTCAACAAATGCAATTCCATGCAATGGGAGATGCACCAATGTTGTCTGAGGATTCTGATTTCTCTCTCTTGAGAATCCACATTCGCCTGAAAGGAATCAGTCAAGTGCGAAAACAATTGTCATTCTGAGCTCTTGTTTGCCGAGATGCATGATTAGGGCAATGGATGTTGCTCCTATCATCCCTGGAATTTTCCATATGTTTAGGAGGGTTTTAAATTTCTTTTTAAGGTCTTGCTGCTGAGGCCAATTGGGAGATGGCATTTAGTGGTCCTCCTCAGCTACCCCGGGGCAGTTAGATAGCAGCGCCTCGGTTGACTCATACTGCAAAAAGAAAAAGAATATTAGCAATAAGATACAGATATGACGAGGGCCTTTATCTTCGTGGAAAATGTGTGCACTATTCCCTGTTTACTTTCCACTCCCCTTACATGATACCTCTAACTAGAAACTGGAAATCCGAGAGAGTCCAACACATTACCTCTCAAATTTAATTGATATGTAACGGTGACATTTCAACACATTATCTCTCTTATCTCTAATAGATAGACAAAATTATCCAAGGAGATGGAGAATCAGTAATTAAAGCAGCCAAGATTGAGTTTTGAATTTAGTTGATTAGAGCCATTCTCTTCAAGGAAAAATGTGCGAGCTATAGCCTGTTCCCTTTCCACTCCCCTTTACGTGATACCACTGAGTAGCACGTTGGAAATTCCAGAGTCTGCAACGCACAATCTCTAATCTCTAACAGATAGACAAGGATGTATCCATTAGATGGATAATTAGTCGTTATAGTAGCCAAGCATTTATTTACCTCTCCTTTGGTTTAATTTGCTAAACTCATTAATTTCACCACCTAATGTTCTCAACAAATCTTGAACCCTTACCTTGAACCCTTACCCCAAAATCAAAGGGCTGTTATCTTCTGGACTGCACTAGCTCGCACATCTTGATGTCAAGACATTTTATGGCTGGAGACATAAAGAGCTAAAAAGTTCGTGACAACACAATTCTTATCTTCAATATCAATCTCACCACACCAGTTCAAGACTAAATTTGGGTTTTGCACCATAATTAAATATGGGAAAATAAATCGCTACTATTTATCTAAGATATTCATCTACTAACCTGACATCCACAAAAAAGACAGTAATGATATTCATCTCTCAGTTTCATCAATGTGTTGAGCAAATCCTGCATTGACAAAAGTGAAGCAGTACCCAAAATTAGTACCAGGTTAAACGAGAACACAACCATTTCAAGCAGCAAGCTAAACAAGAAAGTAACCTTCATTAAGAATGGCAATGCAAACATACCATACTCAAAGAAAGCCAAGAAAAGCACCATTAGGAAGAATCATATGCACTATTGGGAAGTCAAAAAATAAAATAAGAAAATCAATAGTAGGCAGTTTTACATTTGCTTCCAGAAAAGAGCATCCACTCAAGACAAACGTGGATCATAAGTATATCAACAACAACAACAACAACTAACCCAGTTTGATCCCAACATGTGGGGTCTGGGGAGGGTAGTCTGTACGCAGACCTTACCCCTACCTAATGCAGGTAGAGAGGTTGTTTCCAATAGACCCTCGGCTCAGGAATGGCAAGAAGAAGAAGAGGGAAGCAAGGAAGGAAAACAGTATCCAATAATAGAAACACGGAATACAATACCTGAGACGAACAAAATCACATACCGTAATAAAAATCAAAGAATATGAAGGGAAATGCATGCTACTAAGCCTATCGGTGAACACTATAAACTGCCTACTAACCTTCTACCTTAATCCTCGACCTTNTACCATTAAGTCTTAACGGCACATTCTTATCACATAGAACACCGGAAGCGAGCCTCCACTTCATCCACCCCGCTCCGATGCGATGTGTGACATCTTCGTCAATCTCCCCGTTACCCTGGATAATAGACCCGAGATACTTAAAACTCGCTCTCTTGGACATAACTTGAGCATCAAGCTTAACCTCTACGTCTGCATCATGGGTCTCACTGAATTTGCACTCCAGGTATTCTGTCTTGGTTCTACTCAGTTTGAAACCTTTAGACTCCAAGGTTTGTCTCCAAACCTCCAACCTCGCGTTAACTCCGCTACGCGTCTCGTTTATCAACATTATATCATCAGCAAATAGCATGCACCAAGGCACCTTCCCTTGGATGTGACGCGATAGTACATCCATCGCCAAGGAAAACGAAAATGGGCTAAGAGTCGATCCCTGGTGCAACCCCATGACCACAGGGAAATGGTCCGAGTCACCACCCACAGTCCTTACCCGAGTTTTAGCATCATCATACATATCCTTAATCACCCTAATGTACGCTACCGGGACGCCGCTAACCTCCAAACACCTCCACAGGACCTCCCTCGGAACTTTATCGTATGCCTTCTCAAGGTCAATAAACACCATATGTAAATCCTTCTTCCTTTCCCTGTACTGCTCCACTAATCTCCTTACCAGATGAATCGCTTCCGTAGTCGAATGCCCCGGCATGAATCCAAACTGATTCTCGAAAATAGACACGCACCTCCTCACCCTGGCCTCCACCACTCTCTCCCAAACCTTCATAGTGTGACTCAATAACTTGATACCTCTATAATTGTTGCAAATCATAAGTATATCATAAAAATCAAAACAAATGACTTACAGGAGAGATTTGACATCTATAAGCCATAAGTATTACATACGATATATAAAAAGTCAGCCACCAGGAAACTATGCATCTGATATTGCTAATCACTAACCGTCCTAGAATCGTTTTGCAAAGCAAACCTAAGCCAACTCAGTTTTTGCATAAAATGGGTTAAAAAGCAAAAGGGAACTAGATGCTAGTTTCCAACTTAGCATTTTGCTTAAATCTTAATTGCTTATTTAAGAAATCATACGAAAATGATACAGAATACAATACCTCTTCAGTGATCAGTTCTTCCTCTTCCTTTTCTTCATCCTCTTCTTCCTTTTTCTCCTCTACTACCTCCCTATTCTCTAACTGAGCCAGTACTGCCTCAGCCTTGTGAAAATTGCTGACGATCCTCTTTTCCTTCCATCGCTCCTTCAGGTGAGATTCAAAAGTTTCCATTAGCTCTACTTCTCTCCTTCTATCCCTGTCGGCCTTCTCCATTTCCCTCCTCATCTTCTCTACCTTATCATCTTCCTTCCCAATCCCGGCACGCCCCCTTCTGATTTCCAGCCCCACGGGTTCAGACATACCCGAGCCTTCCTTGCCTAATGCTGATCCAGGAGTATATCCCATTTGTTTCAACATCTTGAACCCAATGTTGGTCTCAGGAATTGCCGACTCTAAGTTAACTAGAGTTTTCTGGTCCTCTTCAATCTGCTTCTTCTCTCTCTTGAGCTTTTTGCGTTCTTGCCAATTTAACACCTTACGTTTCTTGTTTGAAGAGTTCGAAACTACATGCTTATTTGATCTTGATGCCTGGAAACCAAAAGACACACGGATTAGGGTCAGAGGCAACAACATAACATATCATCTATTTGACACCATTGTCATAATTTTATAATTTGTCCCACTGAATTTAGACCCAATTTTGCACTGAAAGTCTAAGAAAAGAAAAGAAATCTAAACAAACAATTTAGCAGTCAGGTCCAAAATTATGATAAAAAGTCACTCGAGCCATAGCTAGCCTATGACATTGAGAAAACCTTTGATAAGCTAAACTGGACCTAGCTTATAACAGTCCTCCGACAGATGGGATTTGGTGAGAAGTGGATAAAATGGATAAAATTCTGCATAATTAAGTAAAACATTCAGTTTTGGCCGATACATGTTTTGATGGCATTTCAACTTCCAATGGTCACCTGAAGTCTAAATGTTTGATGAATCTTTTCAGTTGGAGTAACCTTTCCCCTGTAAATGATGTTATTCCCCTCTTAGACTTCATTATTTCTCTCACAATGATTTAGTAACCATTGCTTTTTGCTCTTGGTTAACTTCCTGCTCTAGAATAGTTTTTTGTCCTAAGGAGTTAACCAAGTTTTCTATTGTAACTTTTTGCATCTTCTTGATGCCTTTAATGCAATACATTACTTCATCAAAAAAAGGCTCTTAGATAGGGAGACCCTCAATCTCCCTTCCTTTTCATTTTGGCTATAGAGGGACTTAGCAAAATACTACAAAAAAACGAGGCAATTGAAGTGGATAGAAGGCTTCAAGGTGGGTCACAATCCTAGCAACTCAATATCAGTCTCACACTTGTTGTATGCAGATGATACGCTTTGAAGGGCAGATAGGCACCAGATGCTAAATCTCAATCTCACACTGCTGCTCGTTGAACCCATTGTGGGTTACACATCAATATGCTGGCAAGTCAAAAATGTCTCCAATTTGGAAGAACTAGCTGAAACAATGTGCTACAACATTGGGGCATTTCCTACAACCTACCTGGGATTGCCGCTTGGTGCAAAACTGAGACCAGCTGAGATCCGGAATGGAGTTACTGAAAGGTTTGAAAGAAGATTGGCAACCTGGCAAATGCAATACTTATCAATGGGAGACGGGTTAACAGTAATCAACAATGTTTTTTACCTACATATTTTATGTCTTTATTCCCATTCCAGGCAAGGTTCTGAATATCTTGATAAAATCAAGACAGTTTTACGAGAATGCAACAGCCAGAGACACAAGTTTCACCTGGTAAAAGGGAATTCACTCACACAACCTAAACTTCAAGGTGGTTTAGGCATAAAAGATTTTAGAAATTCACAAGAATCACAACAGATGCATGCTAATGAAATGGCTATGGAGGTACAGCTCAGAGGAACCTGAACTTTGGAAGGATGTAATCGGAGTAAAATACAGGGAGCTAAATCACTGGTACACAAATCACCACATGGAGTAGGCCTTTGGAAAAAGTATTTGAAAATTATGGAGAGAATTCAATCAACATACAAGTTTCAGAGTGGGGAATGGAGCTTTCATTAGCTTCTGGAAGGACAACTGGTTAGAAAATATCATCCTAAAGAAGGAATTCCCCAACCTATTTCTGATTGCTGTTGTTCCAAATTCAACAATAGCTCAGAGCAGATAAGGACTCGCCGTTGAGAAAGATGTACAAGGTTGGGAACTTAATGATCTACTCAACTGCTTAAATGGCCCCGGAAGCTACAAAGTTACCCACAAAAGTGATCTGTTTCAGTTGGACAGCCCTCAAAGAAGCATGTCTGACACAAGATAACCTCACAAGAAGGGATTTTCAGCTTGTTAACAGATGCTACATGTGTCAGCTCAACTCAGAAACATCAACCACCTACTTCTCCCCTGTCCTGTAGCAGCAAACCTATGGATCATGTTTCACTTGACTATTATTTTTTTACTTTAGCTCGCTCATGCCATTCAGTGTTAAGGATGCATATGAAAGCTGGAGCCTGGAGGGCATGGAAAGTTGATGAAACTTTTTTTTATGAAGTAAGGTGTTGCATTAAAGGCATCAAGAAGATGCAGAAAAAGTACAAACTGAAAAGTCTTGGCTAACTCTAAGACCAAATAAAACCTATATAACTGGGATATCAAATAATTATCAGAAATATCTGGAGAATGGTCCCTGCCAGTATTTTTTGGCGTATCTGGACAGAAAGGAATTGTAGACGTGTAGCTGGTATCTCAACTCCAAATCATTCCTTGAAGACTAGGTGCCTTAAGAATCAGTTTAGCTGGTGTAAACTCTCTTCTGTAAATAGCATGGAGCCATGGACCATTTTTTGGATTCTGTAAGCTCCCTAGTGCTAGTCTAGTTCTCATATATTGGAGCTAGCAGAATCACTTCTGTCACTTTTAGCCATTGCCAACCTACAAAAACAAGGTTGTAAACATTTCTAAACAAGGTTATACATTGTTATATTACATGTGCAAGTAAATATTTCTAAACAAATGTTAGAAATATAGAGACTCCAACCACACAAAGTGCTGATTAGTCTGTGAATATTGGAAATATAGAGACTACATGACTTAGAAGAAAAGGTAGCTAAGGTTTTATTGCAGCACATCAGAAAATTATACTTACTTGTTCTTTGCCAACCTAGAACCTAGATTACTGAATATTGAAAAAAGTAAAAGTTAACAAGTAATTTTGAGAATTAAACTATTAAATAACTATAGTTCCATGAGATTTCGGGAAATCTAGTCAACAAAAAAAAAATATAGGGTTACTATGTGTGAGGGGAACTGACCGGTTTATAAGAGGGATTAGGGGGAATAGAAGAAGCTTCTGGAGGAATGAAATGAGAAAGGTCTCCCATGTAATCTTCTTCCTCTTCTTCCGCCATTGTTGCTAACTGCTGCAAGCTTCCGTGGGAACTAGCGCAAAGAATACGCGCTATGTTTTGAGTGAGGTCTATGAGTCCTATACTGGGATTCGTGCGCAGAGGATCGGATCCTTAAATTGTTGAAATGGTCCTCAAAGTATGTGTTTGTTTTACTAGTATTAGATTACGCGAGTTGCGCCTGTAACCCTCGTAATAAGATATATAGTTTTAAAATTAATATAAATAATATTTGAAATATATCTTTGAGATAATTAAAAGAATTATTTTTAAATATGTATCCATACTATATACAAAAAAATTGCTAAATATTTGGTATCGAAGAAAAATTACTCTGAATCAATAAAGTAAATTAACCTACATTAAATGAGGCTTACTTTAGAATTGTTTTCCAATCCAAGTAGAATATTTATTAGTCCTTGCTTGATTAGAAATAAAAAGTCAAAATCATAATTAGATAGACAATATAACTAATTGATAGGTAGTATATTTCATATGTTGACATTAAATTTATTGCTATCTGATATAGTCTAAAATGGTAGATTATTCAAACAAAATAAAAATAAAGAGGCAAAAAGTTAGAAATAAGATTTTTTTCCTAACCATTTCTAAAACAAATAAAAAAATATAAAAGAAGAGAGAGAGAAACGCTTCCCAACTATTCAAATTTACTACTTTTCCGGGCAACTACCAATCAAAAGTCTTAGTATATGATTTAACTGGTTATATTTTTAAATTTTTAATTATTTCAGTGAAATAAAAGTTTATTATATTTGAGCATCAATTTTATAATAACTGATATGTACAAAATTACGAGATGTTGAATCTATTCCACAGAGCAAATAAATATAATTGTAGTAGAATAGAATTATAGCTGACAACTCAAGTAAGAAAAGAATTTATATAAGTAAAAATTTTCTTGATTTAATATTCCTAAATATTAGGAATGCTTACATAATTCTTATAAGGAAAGAAACTTAAATTGATTTCGAAGTCCAAAATATTAGAGAAATAATAATTTAAGTTTTAACGTACGCATGTTGTGCGTGTCTCTAAAAGCAATACCAGTACAAAAAATTACAAGTTCTAAAATAAAAATTATATTGATCATGTTTAGGGAGTTGATCTACTTTAATGATTCTGTATTAAATTTGCTCTAGTATGTGCTCCATTATAAATAAATAAAAGTGTCATAGAAGTATTGTTTGATTGAACAGTAAAATACGCATTTAACTTTATATGAGCACTTGAGTACGTGCATTGCATGTATATTTTACATTAGTTATTATAAAATTTATGTATGATAGTTTACCAATAATTAAAGATTCTTTACCAATATTATTTTATGAGAGTGCTAAATTTATTCAAACCTTTCGCATTTTATTATAAAAAAAGTAGACTCCTAAGCCTAAAAGGAGTGCAAAGTGTTCGACACTACCCTAATGTGAATTTGCAATATTTTTTTTAATTATCCCCCTCTTTAATACGTATTTTACTTCTTTTTTGTTTCTTTTAATTTCCTCTTTATAATTTTTTTTTCCATTTATTTAATTTTCTTTTGATGAAAAAGTCCACTAAACTGGAGAAATAAAGAAATGCCTAGACTTCTAATTTAATTTTTTTTATTATTTAATATTTAATGAGAATACACACATCTTAGATGTCTTGAAAATTGTAGAATTATACTTATCATTTTATTAATAAAAAAGTATGCCTAAATCTACCAAGATGTTCGAGAGCCAAAAAGAGAACTATGTTAATTTTTTTAAAAATTTTATAAAGATTCTAACCCTACAAACGTGGATTTCTTTCACAAGTATGGTCGTATATCATCTTCTACAAATATGGTTATATATCACATAAGGAAAAGTTTAATACATCAAATTTAATTAAGTCTAAAGTCCTAAATATTAGAGAAATAATTAAAGTCCTAAATGTTAGGAAAAATATAAATTGATTGTCTTGTCCAATGTAATATCCGCGCGATGTGCATGTACCTCATCTCAATGAGTACAAATTTAATTAAAGGGTTGTATTTGAGTTAAAAAATAAAAAGGGTGAGTTCTTGAAGATTATTATGAATGTTGATAATGTATAACTTTCTCATAAAAGTCTTTAATCATTAGTCAATAATTCAACTTAAATTTTGTTTCAGTCTTATAATGTCCTAACTACAATTTCACAAGTTATTGTGCTTCCTTTCGATTTCAGCAAAAATACAAATCAATAGGCAACTAATAATCTACGAATTGTAAATGAACACAAAATTAAAGTGCAATGAAAATAAAAAAAGACATAGTAAAGCAAACTGAAAAGTTACATGGAAGAAAATTAATATGGTTATTAAATATTATTTAAATAAGAACATAAGTTATACAAGGTCAAATTTTAAATGATCTCAAAATCCTAATAAATATAAGAACTTGGTTCAAATAAGGAAGATTTGTTATAAAATAAAGACCGTAAAGTAAAGACAAGTATAGAGAGAAACTGTTATATTATTCGAATTCAAACTGATCTACATAATGAATTGAAATCTCTTCTATTTATAGAAGAAAGGAAGCTGCTGTGTAAGCTGCTACTATACCAGATATGGATAATCTTCTACTGAGAGCAATGTTTGTCCATAACGGAGTACTGAAAGGATAAGTTTATTATACCCGATATGGATAATCTTCTACTGGGGGTAATGTTTATCCATAACTGGGTATTGAAAGGATAAGCTTATTATACCCGGTATGGATAATCTTCTACCGGGGGTAATGTTTATCCATAACTGGGTACTGAAAGGATAAGCTTATTATACCCGGTATGGATAATCTTCTACCGGGGGTAATGTTTATCCATAACCGGGTACCGAAGTGATAAGCTTCTTCAGGAAGCTTATTTCCAATAGAGTACTAAATAGATAAACATATTTACGGTGGAGTCCCATATGGATAAGCTTCTTAAGGAAGCTTATTTACAACGGAGTACTAAATGAACATCCATAATATAATATATTTATAACCGGATTTAATATATAAGATATTTAGTTGGAGCTCAAGTTTACTAAATATTAAGAAAACGACGTTAACGAAATATAATTATTTTTACATGAAAAATGTATACCCAAGTGACTCTTTTTTTACAAGTAGCCTAAAATACTAATGTCTTCCTGACAAGTAGTGGTAGCTAACATTTAGCGTAAAATAATTTCTAATTTATAGACCTACTAATTATACTTATGTTACTGTCACGACCCGGATTTTCCACCATCGGGTGTCGTGATGGCGCCTACTATCGGAGCTAGGCAAGCCAAATATTTAAAACATCTTTCCTGCTTTCTTTCAAACAATAAAATGAACGAGACAAAATTTAAGCGGAAGACTTTAAATTTAAAGCAACTGAAAACCAAAAGTGCGGAAGTTTAATACACATCACTACCCAAGGTCTAGTGTCACAAGCTCACGGACTACTACAAAATACTACAAACAATGTCTGAAAGGGAATACATCATGTTTGTCTGATACAAGATGAACAAACGAAAACATGGAAAGGGGCTTCGGTCTGCGAACGCCAGCTAGGCTACCTCGAGAGTCCCTGGACTGAA